ATTCATTATTTTTAAGGCATCACTGTGTAGATATATCATAATTATTTAATTATTCTACTAATGACAATTTTCAGTTATAGACAATGTGGAAATGATCATTCCTGTACAATTTTGGGCACCTTTCCACTTTCAGTCTTGTTTCCAAAGCATAAATACCAGTAGAGGAATTGCTGCCCTATCAGTTTGGCTGTGAACCACGGTCAGATATCTTGTCTGTGTCGTGTCTTTAACCTAAAGACCTTGTTCTTTGGCTTCTTGGCCTTGAAGGTGCCTGAAACAGTGGGTCCATATGAGAAGACAAGATCCTTAATTCCCTTTTTGCCAGCCCCTGTCTTACCTCCTTCTAAAGTTCATAACTGCTTAAGTTAAGAACAGTAGTTGGACTTTTTGAGTCCAGAAGGATCCCAATTATGGGATTGTCCATCAACTTAGGTTACAAACTGCAGGCTGCCACCCTTAGCAATGCTGTTTTTTCTTCCATCTCTGTGCCAACTGCTTAGTTCTGGCCTGAGTTGAGCTCTCTCTCGTAAGACTTTGCTCTAAGCTGCAAATAGCTGCAAACACCAATATTGTAAATTTCCCCAACTATTTCCTTGACAGCTCCAGCTGCCACCCCCATGACCAGTGGCCACCGCTAAGCAGGGCCACATTTTATATTCTGTTACTGTAGCACACCACTTGGGAGGCCATGGGGAGAGAGGCTGACAGTGCTGAAGGGCCCTTCCAGATGAGCTGAGTGTCCCAGCCTCTGACTCAAATTAATAGTGTCCCCTCCCCCAACACATAACCCCTTGTCGGGGGACCGGAAGCATGACTCATGGTGCTCCCTCTTGGGGGCAGCACAGGCCTCTCACGTCTGTGGGAACCTGTGGATGGGGACACACACCTTCCTCTCCCAGGACTCACGGCCCTTTAAGGTGTCCACAGTCAGGTAGGCGAGAGTGGTGTCCTTGGATGAGAGCTGGCCCCCATGTTTCTTTGCCACGTGTGTTTATCTGTGGGTTTTCTGCTCATATCCAGACCCTTTTTCCTGTTGCATCGTTTGTGTTTCTCTCCTTGAAAGTCCTCTTTATACACCTACCTATTATTTAAGTTACAAATGATTTTGTCCATTCTGTCGTTTGTCTTTTGAATGCCTTTCGAACTATAGAAGTTGAGATGTGTGCTTGCATTTAAATCTATCAGGTTTTATTTTATGGCTTTCTGGAGAGCCTTTGTTGATACTCATTGTTGTAATGTTGATTACTTTGTTGTAATCACTGGAAAAAACCCTGGGTAGTTCTAAACCTTTTGAGAGTTACTGAAGCACATTAATCTTAAAAAGATTGTCATCTAAAAACTTGATTTTCCCACAGACCCACTCATTCCTTCCCTCATTCAGCCTGTATTTGCTGAGCTCCTGCCGTGCGCCGGCTTGTGGAGCACTGGGGCTTCTGGCCCTAGTGGGGGCACGCATCAAGTCCCTGCCCTCGAGCCACTCCAGAAAGTAAGGCAGGGTCGGGGGCCTTAAAAAGCATCTCTCGTTCCTGCGCTGTCTACAGGTTTCATTGTGAAAATGGCTGCTACTCAGGAAATGTACCAAAAGGGCCCTGAGACGCAGATTTGAGTAAACCAAGTCACAGTTTGTCTCGGCAGGGATAGAAGTGACGGGGTTTCTGTTACTTAGAGTGAGAGAAGCAGAATACCACTTACAGTGCATGACAGCTTTCCAGAGCACTGCTGGGTCAGGTAGGTGTCCCCAACACCCTGGTGAGAATTGGGAGGGAAAGTTACCCTGGATCAGCACCAAAATTTTTGCTTTGAATTCCTTTTCTTAAAGCAACTCTCCAAACAAGTGCCAAAAGTCAACTCACATATTTATAAGGTCTCACTGTCCCCAAAATACAAAGTAAATTAAATTAGATTTTTATTTCTGTCGGATGGACATAATTCCTGTTTTTAAATACATATTGACAAGCCTGCTTTTAGATGACACCACTTCCCTGCATTAAGTACATACGTAATATATTCTTAAGTCTCCAGCCATTTGATTTAATATAATTCACTTTGTAAGGCAACACTGCAAGCAACTTTAGGCATTTGTCAAAAACAACTCACTGGTGTAAAAATCTTCATTGTGCACTTGAACCTCTATAAATTATGTTAAGCAGACATAAGCCCTGCCCCCCTGAAGCTTGTGGGCCCGTGTAAACAGCTCAGACCCCAAGATGAACCGTGAGCTGAAACCTCTATTAACAGCCAGGCAGCCTCTTAGCTTTGCTGTGAGTGGGAGCCAGCACCTTTGTGCAGGGCGGCAGGGCGGGGGACAGAGTCAGGCCCCTTCACCCCACGATGACATTCTTACTATAAGTCACATAATAAGCACATTCATACTTAAGCCTCATTTCCTACTTCACAGTTTGTTTATGTAGCTAAGAAATTGTCCTTTTATATCATAGCTATTAATAAATAAACATAGATTTGGATTTTGCTATCAGGGAAGCCTTCTTCAGTATTTTACAATATCATATGTTTTAGACTTGAAGTGCAAATTAAACAAAATTTTGATTATATTTTCCCTGATAGTGGGGTAGTGTAAATGCAGAGTTATATGTATATGCAAATGCAGACCTATTGTGGATAGCTTTAAAAGACATAGTACAAGCCTGCTTTTGTTCCTTTCCAAATCTAATTAACCACATGTTTATTTACCCAGATTTTAAATGCTGAATCCCACTCGAATGAACATTGCAACATGGAAATAATTACACTTTATGATTCTAGAGGGTTAATTAAATAATTACGCTACAGCTATTAAATAGAATGTTATGAAACCATTAAAAAGTTATGGACTTGTGGTTCCTGGTCTGCGTGTGAGGAGCTTGGCAGCCGTCACTCCATCCTAGCCACAAGTAAAAAGCTGAACAGACTGAAAAATCAACAACTCTTCTTAGATCCGTCAGGGAAGTGAGGTCACAGGGCAAAGTATTGTCTGAAAATTGGAGAGCCAGGCAGAAGAGAGAATCACAACTTACCAGAGCAGACACTCTGGGGAGCCATTACCTGGGTAGGAAAACCTCCACTGTGATTGATGAATTGCTAGAGGCTCAGTGTGGACAAGTCCAAGAGTTAAAAACGCCAGGGCACCAGACTCGGCGAGCCCCACACTTACGTGAATTTTACTTCCAGGAGTACTACCAGGTCCCCTAGGGAATATCAGGAAAAAAATCTTGTGTTTCCAGCAAGGAGAGGGGAACAGTAACCGTTCTGAAATATGCCAGATCATTCTGTTCTTAACAAGGCCTGCTCTCAGGGCAGGCTATTTTACCGGAGTCTAACCTATAGAGTATTTATGAGACCCTAACCAACCCACCCTCCCACAGAGACAGAGCACAGAGGATTTTTAGGGCAGTGAAACTATTCTGTAGGACACTCTACTAGTGGGTACACGTCATATACATTTATCCAAACCCAGAGAACGTACAACACCAAGAATGAACCCTAATGTAAACTATGAACTTTGGGTGATCATGATGTATCAGTGTAGGTTCATCAATTGTAACATGTACCACTCTGGTGAGCGATGTTGGTAACAGGGGAGTCTATACGTGTGTGAGGGCAGGGGGTACATGGGGAATCTCTGTACCTTTTGCTCAGTTTTGCTGTGAACCTAAAATAAAGTCTATTTTTAAAAAAGTTATGATGAGGAAGAAGATTTGTTAACCTAGGGAAATATTTACAATATATTGTTAATCTTTAATAATTATTAAACAATTTCTAGTCTTTGCTATTGTTTCTCTCCCCCACTAGACTTCCTCTATCCTGTTCACAACTATCTCCCCAGCTCCTGGTACAGTGCCTGGCTTATAGTAAAAACAACAACAACAACAGCTAAATACTGAAATAGTCGATTTATTGCCATGTTGGGTACTGCTCTCAGTACTTTATGTATATTAACTCATTGAAACTTCACAACAGTCCTTTAAAGGTAAATAAATGTAAATATGATTAGGAAGTACTTATTCCCTGTTTACAGCTGGTAAATGTCAGAGGTGGAATTTGAAACCAGGCAAAAGGTCCCAGAGTTTGTGCTTTTTACTACTGACTTAGACACCTTTCTTTAGAAGGCAGTTGACAAATATTTGTTGATTCGATGGATGAATGAATGAATGAAATGAAATGAAAAAGGAACTTTTAATGTTGTATGTATTATTCCATTTTTATTTTTAAAATATGTTCATGCAAAATACCCAAATAGCCATCAGTAGCACAGATAATAGACTGTGGTCCAGTCACACCGTGGAATATTATACAGCAGTGAGTAAAACGAGTCACAACTCCATGCAGTAGTGTGTTTGATTCTCATAAGCATAATGCTGAGCAAAAGAAGTCAGATCCTAAAGGGTACCTACTGTACTCTTCCATTTATATAAAGGATGCTGGTGACCCTTGGTGTGGTTCCTGGAAGGGTACTCAGGGGGTTCTGGGACTGGGAATATTCTGTGTCTCCATCTTGTGCTGGTTACATGGATCTGTTCAATTTGTGAAAGTTCTTTGAGCTATACACTTATATGTGCACTTTTCTGGTATGTAAATTCTACTTCAATAAACATTTTAAAATGGCTAAGATAGACAGAAAAAGGGTTGAAAAGATGAATAAGAGGTTGATAGCATATTCGCCCAAATGTTAACAATAGCTATTTCTTGGACACAGAGCAAAAAGTAGTTTTTAATTTCTTTGTTGAGGGTTCTTATGTGTTCCAGATGTAATAAAATGATCACATATTACCTATGTAATAAGATTTTTTAAATGTGGTAAAACAAATTTGCCCCGAACCAATGACTGCCCCATATTAGCACGAGTTTGGCACATGGGTATTGTCCCCACTGGTGAGACAAGACACCCACCTCATCGGTTGCCCTTCTGGCTCTAGTCTACAGTCTTTCAAGCCTTTAGCATGTCTTCAGGAATTTCTAATTAATGTTTTGTGGGATTTTTGTGTTTTTATCCCCTTTGCCAGGCTGAACAGTCAAAAGAAGAGCAGAAGCAAGGTTTGAATGCGGAGAAATTGATGAGGCAAGTCTCCAAGGACGTGTGTCGGCTCCGGGAACAGAGCCGGAAGGTGCCTCGGCAGGTGCAGTCCTTCAGGTAAACGGCCCCACCCTTGGACACTTTCAGGGTGTCCTCGTGTGCTCTGAGTTATGTAGGAGTTCCCCTCAGAGTACGCTCGAAGTTACTATTGGGATGTGAGACCCCAGGTCCTCTCCTCCCAGTTTGAACGTTTAAGTTTCCATTTGCTCCTTCCTGAGGTACAAACCCCGCTGGCGCAGTCCTGACTAGATTAAAGCCTGGCTCCCTAAGAACCTAGGTGCCCCCAGCTCTTGGAAGCAGTTAGCACACCTGCCCGAGACACCTTGACGCAGAATACAGAAAGGTACAAAAAGGGCACGTATCTCCGGGGTTTTGTTGTTCACTCGTTCCACAGACATCCCTTGGGTCCCCCGTGAGCCACATGCGTGCTAGGCCCAGGGACAAGAGAGGAGCGAGTGCTCCTGCTCTCACAAGGCTCCGGTCTTGGGGAGGCGGCAGGTGAACAGACCACCACCAGGCCACGTGGGAAGAGCTCACTGAAGGGATCAGGGTCCTGAGGGCCTGCAGGAGCTAGCTGGAGAAGGTGGTGAGAGAGGCAGCATTTGAACCCCTGGTGGAAGTGTGGGTACGAGCGTTTCAGGCACTCGGGGTGGTAGGTTTGAGAAGGGCATCGAGGCAGGAGGGACCAGCGTGGACAGAGGCGCAGAGCCTTCAAGGTCAGTGCCAGGCTCCGTGTGCGGGGGAGAGCTGCCAGCAGGTGAGCTGTGGGGCAGAGTTGGGCTCAGACCGCACAAGGCCTGGCATGCTGTGCTGAAGATTTTCAGCTGTGGTTTTAGACGGTAAAGGAGCCAGCAGGGTCTCCAAACACAAAAGCAAGTGACGGAGATAGATTTTATGTGGGGCCAATGTTAGAGGCCTTGTGGAGAGTGGGCAGGGGCAGAAACTGGAAAGGGGGAGGCCAATTCAGTGATAGAGTGATGGGAGAGGAGCGGGTGGAGGGGCAGTGGGAACCAGCGGAGCGCCCCATCGAGGTGCCAGTATGGAGACTGTGCCAGTGTGGGCACTGGAGAGAGGAGCAGGTTTGTTGTGAGGGTGGTGGGTTCTGCTTTTGGACAGAGCAGGTTAACAATCCCAGTAGGACAGCCTGGGTAACTATGGCCAGTAGACAAGTAGAAATAAAAATCTAAAGCCAGGATTAGAAGTCAGATGGAAGATAAGAATGGGAGTCTTCAGCCTACATGTGGTGGTTCCATCAATGGAAATGGGGCAAACATCCCAGAAAAGATGGCCAGGAGAGGAGGCACGGTGGGTGCCGACATTGAGGGCCTCGCAGCAAGAAAGGTGTAAGAAGGAGCGGCTGGCGAGATAGAGGAGACCCAGGAGAGCGTGGTCCACGAGCTGGAGGGAGGGACGTTGTCGGACACCATGGAACACCACAGAAAAGAAGAGGAATGAAAAATATCCCCTGGACTGGGCAATCAGGAGGCCACTATTGACCATCAGGGGACGGTTTCAGTCCAGTGAGAATAGGGCCTCAGAAAGGGTTTTGTTTGCTTGGGGTTTGGTTTGGTTCGGTTCTGGATGGTGTGTGTGTGTGTGTGTGTGTGCGCGCGTGTGCGTGTGTGTGTGTGTGTGTGTGTGTGTGTGAAGCTTTTAAGGGACAGGGAGAAGCCGAAGCCCGAGGAGAGTGTTCTGATGTGTGGGGGCAGGGGGCTGTGAGGTGGAGCAGGCCTAGTTGGGAAGGGCTGGGCTTTGGTGCCAGGCGGAGGGTGCAGCCGGAGGAAGAAGTTGGAGGTCAGCGCTGAACTGAAGGAATCCAGAGCGGAGGGAAGGGATGCCGAGGCGTCCTGGGCTTCCGACTTTTTGAATATGATGGTTTATAGTCAAGAGTCAAGTTTTTCCTGCCTCCGTTCTGCTGCAGAATCACTCTTGTAACTTTTAGAGAATGCTGCTCCTTGGGTTTTCAGAACTCCAGGGTGGGGAGAGGAATCTTCTCACGCCTCTGGTGCTGTGGTCACTTTGAGAGTAAGCAACGTTGTCCAGCATGGAAATCATACAACCCCCAGCTGTTGCTAAAACCCAAAATAAAGATTTATAAACACTCCCCGTGTCCCTTAACAAACAAACCCATTTATATGACCAGGCATGGGGTAAAAATGAATGAGATGGACCAGGCTAAGAGAGACTGTACTGGAATTGTGGAGGCCCCTGGTCACTGACACCTGGCATTGTGTGGTGAGACAGCGGAGAGCAGTGGGGCCTGGGGCGCTCTGCCTGAAGCACAGGTGCGACGACTTCTGGAATCAAGAGCCCAGTGTCTCCTGGTCTTCTGATTTGTCAAGGGAAGTTAGAAATCAGGAATTTCATGTGAAATATCTCAAATGTAGACCCTGGTAGTTAATTCAGATATTTCAGAAACACCACGTGAGCCAAAGAAACCCACTTACAGGAAGTGTTCAAGCACGAGTCCCCAGTTTTCAGTTCTGCCTTATGGCCTTCAATGACATCATGACCATGCTCACTTGCCTTTTTTTTTTTTGTGAGGAAGATCAGCCGTGAGCTAACATCCATGCCAATCCTCCTCTTTTTGCTGAGGAAGACCGGCCCTGAGCTAACATCTATTGCCAATCCTCCTCCTCTTTTTTTTTTCCCCTTTTTCTCCCCAAAGCCCCAGTAGATAGTTGTATGTCATAGTTGCACATCCTTCTAGTTGCTGTATGTGGGATGCGGCCTCAGCACAGCCAGACAAGCGGTGCGTCAGTGCGCGCCCGGGATCCGAACCCGGGCCGCCAGCAGCGGAGCACGCGCACTCAACCACTAAGCCACGTGGCTGGCCCCCACACTTGCCTTTTTAATTCTTATTTTTATCTCTTATGGAACTGAACAAATCGAAAGGACGCTATGCCACAAAAATAGCTCTCGTTCTAACTTCCACAATGTTTTCACCCTTCCTTTTCTTCTCTCTCCTGTCCTTAGCCTTTAGAGCATTTCCACCTCAGTTCTGGCTTCTTACCCCACGCTTCCTCCTCCGTGTAGACTGTTCATTTCTCAAGGGAGACCCCATGCGTCTTCCTTCTTTACGGCTACCGACGTGCGCCATGTAGGTAACTAACTCTCCTCAGTAAATGTGTTGACGGGACACTATGAACCATGTGAGGATTTTGTAGGAAAACAGACATGTTGATCCTGTCTTTGGTAGCTATACAATCCTAAAACCTTATTTTTTTAACACTCTCCTAACCTCTGAAAAGCATTCTGCCCGTTTCTTTCTCAATCTCTCCTTTCAGGTTGTCTCTGCTCATCCCCGCCTCAGGATGCAGGACAGACTTAACCTTTACAACAGTCAGGTTCCTTCTTGTCCCTTCATTGGAGTCATGGTATCACCCATCAAGTCGCCCTTACCTTAGCATGGTGTCGATTTTAAAGAATTTCCCGATATCGTGTGCTTCTCTGTGAGGTCCCTGAGAAATTTCCCAGGATTTTGGCCCTCTTGAATCCTCTACTGCCTGGTTTGGAAACACCTGGACTGACCACCTGGTGGTGTAAAACTGTCTTCCGCTGGAAATCCTGGAAGGGCACTTCCCGCCTTGGCTTGTAGGTGAATTCCCGTAAGCCAGAGCTACCAGTCTCCTTTCTGGCCTGCCACAAAAAGGCCAAGACGATCTTGATTTTAAATGAGTTCTACCTAAGGAGAAGGCCAGCTATCCAGGCTTGTAGAGCTACGCTGGAGTTCTTGGGACTATGTTTATGGCCACAGGTACTTTCTCATCTTATTTCAGTGGGTTTCTTTCTCACCCCGACTCTAGGGAGAAGATTGCCTACTTCACCAGAGCAAAGATCAGCATCCCGTCCCTGCCGGCAGATGACGTGTGATGGCATCACTGATGAAAGTACTTTTTCACCTGTTCATTTCTTAGGGAGGGCGAAAGACTGAACATTTGTTCTGTTTTTAGGGTTTTTTTTTTTTTGTAATATAAATGTCAACTCTTAAAGAGCTTTTATTTCACATCAGATTTTCAACATGTTAATTTGTAAAGTACCTTGAATGTAATTCCTATATGTTTAAAAAAGAAAAAAAAAATCAGATAACCAAAATGGGGTAATCTGGTACACAGATGTTGTACAGTCTGTATGTAATGCCAGTGGGCTTTATTTTGTAAAAATGGACTAGAGGCAGGACCCAGTGTGCATCCTATCGAACCGACTGTTGAGAGAGAGCTTGGTTGAGCAGAAGGGGGTGTCTGCCTTTCCTTTGAGTTCTTGTGAGGACACTGGGAAGATGGCAGGGGCGCCACGTGCTGTTTTTATACTAGAGAGCAGTTCTTGCAGTGTGAAGTTAGACGCGAGGGAGGATAAGCTTCGTACAGAGCTCCCAGTCCACCTGAAACAGGTGCGGCCTTCATTTCTGTCGCCTATGTTGGAACACTTTGTTTCCATAAAACAGTTTCCTTTGTCCTTTTCTATTTGTCTAAAGAAAACAAAAACGAAATGCTGAATGCAAGAATATAAGAATGCAAAGGAGCAATACTCCTGGCCTCACTAAAGTTCTTGTGATTTATGACATTAAGGGGAGGGAGAAAGCCAGTTACCTGAAAATACACAAAAACAAACTCATCAGCTGAGCAGCTGCTGCTTCTAACTCAACCTGAATTTGTGTAAGTGTTCAAACGTGAGTTTCTGGGTTGCACCAATGATGTTTTGTCCTAGGTGTGAGGATGGTACCTAGTGGAGGAATGTGGGGGCCCAGTGTCTACGGCCAGACTACAGGTGATGTGGGGGGAACGCATCAGCACTTATTTGTTGAAACCAGGGACAAAGGAAAGGCTATCTTGATTGAATCAAAAGTTGCCAAAAATTTAAAAAGATACTTTATTAAACAGATTTCTAACATTTACTAGAAATTACTTTGCAGCTCTCGTGTTTGGGGGATCATATCTATAATTTATGGTAAGGAATTGGGAGGCAAAGAGAAGAGTGTGCCTGGGGAGATTATTAATTTCAAGTATAGGCTAAGTCGTTGGTTTAAAAAAAAAGCCATTCTAGATGAACAAGTTTAGAGATATAAACGGACTGAAGTATCCTCCAGTATAGAATTTTAGCTTACCCAGCTCAGGCACTTCTTAAAAGAAACAGGTCCCCATTGTCACTCTGCCAGCATAAAGGCTTCTAAAATAAATAGTATTTATGCGATTTAAATCATACTTATTACTCAATCTGTTATACTGCAAAAGGCAGGTTTTGGTTAGCCATCTTATATAGCAAAGTAAATGAATTTTTTTTTTTTAGAAATGCAAAAATCATCTTAAAGGAATGGGCCCCTTAAAAAATTCACACACACAAGTTCTATTCCTAAGCTAGAATCGTCATTGGCAAGAATTTTTATTTTCTTGAAAGTAATCATATTTTGGAAAGTTCATTTTATCAGAATCAAAATTCAAATTAAGCAATTTCTGAGCCTAGAACTTTAATTATTTTTTCCTAAGTGTCCCACCACATATATACAAATGTCTTTGAAGCTATAACTGGACGTGACACTACTTTGAACAAAACCCAGCCTCATGAAGTGACTGAGCACAGTCCTTCAAGGCTGCCCATTTCATTCTGTCAGATGACTAAGGAAAACTAGAAAAAGAGTACCATTCATCCTTGTCAAGGTCAAATGTGAAAGACAGAAGTTTATTTAATGTAGAGTTAAATGAAGGTCAGCTGTTTTCAGCTTCTTAGTTTGACCATGAAAATGTTTATAGAATTATGTGTAGTTGTACCGTACGATTTTATTTTCTTCATTTATTTATTTACGGTCTTATTTATGTTCTGTTTAATATATAGTTCGGTTCTGGCCATTTTAAATGTTTGACATAGAAGAGGCTATATTGGAATATTTACAGCTTTATAAATCTTCATCAGATTAGCTGTTAACTTTTTGTAATACAAAAAGTTTCAGACAAGTATAAAAGAATAAAATCTGTCTCAGGCTGGTAGTTAACAGTTGTGACCAAGATGCTTTTGGTTTTATTTTATAAAATTTGCTCATTTCTAACATGAGAGACAAACTTATTTTAATGTAATCTTTTTCCACACTTTAAAAATCAGCAATAGTGTTATGTATTTATAGGCAGCTTTTAACAATCCTGTCATATTTGTACTAACCCAAATGATTCACAATGATAAAACATTTTAATAACTTGATCACAAAACCATATGGACAATACGAATTTTAATATTATAAATACTATTTTTTAAACATAGAATTTATTCTGCACAGGGTAAAAAGAATGTAATATTTAGTTCTCAAGTTTGAATTATCAGTATGTTATTACAATTTTGTATATCAGAATCTAAGTGTTACAGGTACAAAAAGAATATTGCTAGCCAAATGAACAACGTTTAGCTGAATCTCTGTAGCATGCAAATCAAATAAATTTAAAATCTTTTTTTTTTTTTGCTATTACTTTATCTATATTGTATTAAATATCAAAAGCTCAGGACTGAACTAAATATTTAATCAGGTTAAATTCTGAATATGTTTCTGTTTTAATTTGTCTTGTTTGTAAAAGTATGCAAATACATCACATAGATTAACTTTGGTTTCTGCACTCTTCATGTGTTTGTGGGTGGAAAAAAATTCAGTGGGATTTTTTTTTAAACAAAGATACAGATTGCCTAATACCTTACTTCAGTGTCATTTATTGTTCAGTCAGTTTCCCTGATTGGCACAAATACAAGAGTTTATTTGAACGGAGCAAATATAAAATCTTCCATGAAGAATTCCCCAAGCCAGCAGTTTATTGTGAATAGTCCTTGGTAGGATGATATGTACTGCTGATAAAAAAAAAAGACGCAATATTTTCGTTGTGCAAGATGAAGGGCTCCAGGATATGAGCTCTGTCATCGCACCACCCGGACTGACAGAGTGCTCGGCGGCCCGGGGCAGCTGTCCCAGGAGGGTCTTGCCCACACACCCGGGTCCTGACCTGCAGTGCCCCCTGTGGCCGCTCCACAGAGCCAGGGGCAGCCAGGGGTGGATGGGAATGTTGACCATCTGCCGCAGAGCCAAGGACACAGAAGCCAAAGCACATTTGCATGGTAGAGTTTACATGAATCTTCCGGAACACAAGATTGCCCTCCTCTGCTTCTGACATAGTAAAGAAGGCGTGAATGAATGTGGCTGACTTTTAGAAAGGGCTCCATAGAGGCACTGAGATCTCTGATTAAAAATAAGGTGATGTGTCCATGTCTCTCACCTCTCAAGCTTTCGAAGAGCCAGCAACTTTTTTAGTATAATCAGATGTCATACATTTAAGATAAATATGCAGCAAGACTTTAGTCTCAGTATAATAGGTGATCTTAAACAATTAGAAGAAGTAAATGATTAGCAGTAACATTTCCAATTGCCAGAATGATTCATCTCTATGAATAACACCTTCAAAGATATGTAAGTACTAATATAATGTTTTATTTAGCTGTTCTGTGCCATCACTGGATCTATTTTAAAATTGAGAAAACTCATTCACAGTAGTGAGTATGATTACTATTAAGTCTTGATTGATTTTGGTCTCAGAGTAGAAGATGAAAGTGGCTTACCATCTTAGAAAGAAATGAGAGTTTAACAAGCTAATAGCCACAGGAAAAAACACATTTTAGAAAATGAAAAGCAAAGTGAATGGGTGACTGTGTAGCAGGAAATCCTACCACATCCAGAGTTGACACCTGAGGAGGGGACACACTGATCCGTTCTGGCTTAGATTTTCAGGTGGGAGTTTTTCATCTCCAGGTGTTGATGGTGATATTGTGTTTCTGCCACTGCATGGTGGCCCGAGGCTGGAGGAGCTTGCGTTGAGCAGGCTGCACAGTTGAGCAGACACCCTCCTAGTACGAGAAAAAATCCAGCAAACCAGCCAATAAAGAGGGCTTCCCCAAACTCCCACCTGGGCACAATCTCTGGGACAGTCTCATCCCAAAACTCCTGGACGGTCATGTGGGCCACCCAGGAGACCGGCACGAGGGCCGTGATGCCCGCTGTCCAGAACAGGAGTCCGCCCAGGATTAGCAGTCGCTTCTTGAGAGCTGGCTGTCTCTCTCCAATTCTCAAGCAGTCCAGGCCAAACCCAGAGAGCAGCAGGCCCAGGAGTCCCAGTCCATTTGACAGGAACATGAGAATCCTGGAGATCCTGAGTTCGGCAGGCAAAGCCAGGAAAGAATCAAAGTCTTTGCATTGCATCCCTACTTCCTCCTGGATGACACAGGTTTGCCAGAGTCCCATGGTCCAGTTTTCCATTTCATTTAAGTCCAGGTTGAGGTTTTTCCATTGTGGCAGGTAGTTTGTAAGACAAGATAAAATCCATCCCAACAAAGATAAGGAAATCCCAGCTAACTGTGCCACAGTTCTAAATACTAAAGCCATTATAAAGTCCTGAGAACTTTAGCCAAACTAACTCCTGCCTTTCGGTTGCTGTGAAAAGAAGTGTGACAGTGTGTTATCACTCACGGAGCTCAGAAATATTTTTTCATTGTGTATATAGGAGGATTCTTGCCAGAGTTGCTATTGTTCGATTCCATGTTGAATAGGTTTCAGAAAAGGATAGGGAAATAATTCTGCAAACCAGTAATGCCAAGGTGTGGCCAAGATCGTGTTTGTGTCCTATAGGCGGAATTTTGTAGTAAGCAGTTTGTCCCCAAAATAACTAAGTAGTAATAATCCTCCTTTCATTGTTAACGTATAAATTGCTTGCATGTTGTTCCCAACCTTTCTAAGGAGTCAAAGAATTAAGAAGCCTACATGCAAAATGTTTAATTGACAGTTTTGGCTCAACTCCTACTGCTTTATACCTTACTAATTGCGCCTGTCAGATTTTCATCTCTTAAAGTTCTCACATTTCAATACATATGTTCTGGTAATACTGAGTGTTACCATTTTTTAAAAATAGGTTCAAGAAACGTATTTCTTAACCAAATAAATCGATCTTATCAGAAATCTCTCTAGACCTTCAATCTGCCCCATTTTTCTTAAATCCCTTAGGCTACGTATACCACATAACAAGAAACAATACTGAACTAATATCAAGTCTGTTTACCTACATGCCTTTCTGTCAAATTCATGCACGTGTGCATAAACACTTATTTTTTTTCTTTGCTTAAGTATGCCTCCTGTGCTGTGGAAAAGTTAAGCAATAGGACTTTGTAGGTTAGAATCAAGATCTCTGTTGCTTTACCACTAAAGTATATATCCCCATGCTTGTAATTTTTAATTGAACGAGGGAAAACTTTTATTAGGGCAAATGAACTGTCAATATTTGTATATCAAGCAGAATATTTTTGGAATTATCTTTTTTAAATACGAAGCTTTTGACGGAAGTGACGAGACAGGAGATTGGCCGGTATTTTAAATCTGAGAGTATCATGATGTACTGAAAACTTTCAGCCTCATAAAATCCTGTCACATAGGGTGCCTAGTAATTTCCTGAACACAAACCACCTCTGTTCAAAGAAGACCAAAGGCATTGTTGTGGAAATAACACTCTGAGATAGGTTTAACGTGTGGTTTTGCTAATGTAGAATGCTTAAAAGATTCCAGATTGTTCATGTTTTTCTTTAGGAAACAGAAACTAATTATTACAAAAACAGAAAAAAGTTCTGATATAAAATTAACACATTAAAGCTTAATACCAACTATATTGGATAACCACCACCACATTTTGATTTAAATAGCCAGATCAATGGATTATTTTTGCTCATACCTATGTAATGCTTACCATAATAAGTTTCTTTTAAGTACAAGATTCGCCTCTTTCTTACTTCTCCAGGTTGTGAGGGGAAGGGGAGCATCTAGGATAGAAAAGTAGTTATTTAATGAGAAAATGTGAGCAGCACAGATTTAGTCCATAACAAAGACCCCTTTGTCATGTAGACCCCTACATCACAGTTGATGTAGAAAGATGTGTCTCTCTGGTCTTGTCCAAGTCTTACACTTGAGGATCTGCAGTTCCATTTTCCAGGTACAGACTATGCATTTCTGCCACTGCATGGTGGCCCGAGGCTGGAGGAGCTTGCATCGAGCAGGCTGCACAGTTGAGCAGACACCCTCCTAGTAGGAGAGAGAATCCAGCAAACCAGCCAATAAAGAGGGCTTCCCCAAACTCCCACCTGGGCACAATCTCTGGGACAGTCTCATCCCAAAACTCCTGGACGGTCATGTGGGCCACCCAGGAGACCGGCACGAGGGCCGTGATGCCCGCTGTCCAGAACAGGAGTCCGCCCAGGATTAGCAGTCGCTTCTTGAAAGCTGGCTGTCTCTCTCCAATTCTCAAGCAGTCCAGGCCAAACCCAGAGAGCAGCAGGCCCAGGAGTCCCAGTCCATTTGACAGGAACATGAGAATCCTGGAGATCCTGAGTTCGGCAGGCAAAGCCAGGAAAGAATCAAAGTCCTTACATTGCCTCCCCACTTCCTCCTGGATGACACAGGTTTGCCAGAGTCCCATGGTCCAGTTTTCCATTTCATTTAAGTCCAGGTTGAGGTTTTTCCAATGTGGCAAATAAGTTGTAATAATGGATAAAACCCATCCCAGCAAAGATAATAAAAGTCCAACGAATTGCATTGCTACTCTGAAGACTAAAGCCATTGCAACCAATCTTAGGACTTTTGCCACCTCTATAGGAGAGCTGTCTTTGTGGTTGACAGTAGTGTGACGATCTTGGTTCTATGCTGCCTGGAATATAAGCTTTGGTCATTAACTCTTTGAGCAGTCTGAAATGCGTTTTTGTTCTTGAATATAATGTTTCATGTAAAGGACGAAGGACTCGGTTAAAACTATGAGTTAGGCTTTCTGATAAGGATTTGATCTGTTACCTTCCAATTTGCTTGGTAAATTATATCCCCAATGCTTGATGATTATAAGTCTAAAGATGAACAAAGAGAGCTCTATGACCCCTCACCCTAAAATACAACAGAAATCTTTGTGCTTCAATATGGATTAATTAGATTTTAAGTGGTGATAAAAGGCCAGCTCTTTCTACAACAGGACTTCATTGTAACAGCTGAATCTGAGATTTCAGAGATGCAAAACAAGCCCTTGTAAGAAAGGTAGACTGTTTCCCTATAATCCTTATTCTTCTCGGACTTCCTTAACCTACACAAGAGCCTGGCCCGAGTTCTTGAGTGTCACAGTGACTCACTTGGGACTTGGCAGAGATGTTCCCTCAGATTCCTTTGAAAGGTAGAGGCTGGTTCGCTGGCTTAACTAAAATGAGAAAGACGGAGGCCAGGCGCAGGGTAAGTGAAGAAGGGAGCTTCCGGGGAGCTCTGGATTTCATGCTAAGATTTTCTCCATCCTCATTAAGGACTTGGGGTAAAGCTTGATTTCTTTGTATCTGGGAGATGTGTTTTGGTCCAGAGCTGAGCTGTCTTTGCTGTCGTGGAAGCCCCATAGACAAAGCAGCACAGAGCTTGAAGATTCTTGCCATTTCCAGACAAAAGGCCCTGCTGTGAAAACAGCAGCCTCAATGGAGCTGACCTCTGAGGCCGGATCTTGTTTGTTTTTCTGGTTTGGGCCAGACCTTGAGAACATACTTGTGCAGAGCATGATCCCTCAGGGAATACAGGCCCTCACAGGGCGGGACAAGAGACTACCTGCTCCCGAGTGCCAGGGCTGTTCCAGCTTCGGCGTGGCCTGACTCCTCTCCGCAGGGCCCCTGGGCGTCCAGCACCCACAGCAAGAAGGCAGGGTCTGATGGGTTCATGCAGGTTCCTAAAGTGGAGCCACTGTCCTGGAAGATTCTAATGTCAACTGGTAAGAAGCATCAACTGCAAGAGAAGCAAAAGGTTTATTTGGGGTCTCAAGAATTGCAATTTGGGAGATGCAGATTTGAGTAGAAACTCAAATATGCTCTGAGGAAGACAGAGGAGACGGGAGCTTATAGAAGCAAAAAGAAAAATGATATAGGTTGTTTTGTAAGATTTGTGATTAGTGCTGGCAACGACTGTTACTTGTTGGCTTTACATGATTAGTTGCTAAGGCCATTTCTAAGGCAGAAAGTTCTTATCTATGGGAGTAAGCATGTTTCTTGGAAGGTCAGGGTGACAGCAGTGAAAAGCACAGTCTAAAGGTTACATTCCATCTGGGTAGAGATGTGCTTAAGCCCCACTTCCCTAATGGCCTCCCAGCCCCATTTTAGAAGCCTTGACATATGTTACTCCATTTTGTTATCGTCATCCACATTTTCCCCTTTTGATCAAGATCCTTTGGCAGAAAGCATCATGGATCAACCATTTGATTGATACATCTATAATATCCCTCGTTGCCAGGAAGGCTCCTTCACAAGAAATCATGTCCCATCTAGTGGGGAAAGCAAGGTACTCAGTCATCAGTAGGAGTAACACAGAGGCTTCGGCCACATCTGAGCAATAAGGAGACGGTCGGGAAATGAGGCTTAGTCTCTATCTGGAAAAAGTATCAAGTCCTTTGTTCAGAGTTGCAAGATGGGTTGATCATCTCAAGTCATTGAGCAATCATTATTCTGGAGGTAGAGACAGACATACAGCATCAAGAAATGCAAATCATTAATAGCTTGAAGGCAACAAAGATCATGCAAATCAGGACAATAGTCATTAGTATAACTTGGAACAGATCTGAGTGAGTAGTAATATAAGTTTAAATATAAGTACACAGAGCAAGTTTCCAATAATTATAAACAATCTTTAAAGTCCTGGTCTCATCCAAGCACCCATACCTGAAGGAAGACGGAACCAGAGAGTGTCATTAAAAGACATTGGATGGAGAGATCCTATGCTATTTTTATAATTTTTCCGAATTCTAACTGAACTTCACCAGAGGAGTTGATCCAGGTGCAGCAGGAGGTGTTGGCTGTGGCACAGATGCCACCCTGTCCTGTAAGGAGATGATGGATTGCCATTTGATTATCCAATATAACCCTCACTATGGAATCCAGAGATCATTGTTATTGAGCCAAAGCTTGAGTGGTAGAATTTGCCAGTGTAGCTATGGTTAGGGATAAAATTTTTATCAACAGATAGTCATGGACAACATTAATCCAAGGGACAAAGCTTTTGGCGATGGTAATCAATGGAGAGTACTTGAGGTATAAGAAGGGGTCACCAAGTTTTGCCTAGACCTATGAAATTGCAATTGGGTTTTGTTTTGGTTTTTTTTTTAACAAGAACTTGAAATGGAGTATTATGGTATCCTAAAAGGCATTGTCCTGCCATACACCAGCTGTCTAGACCTTCATAAGCCCATGGTTCCCTGTAGTAATCACACACAAAGGTGTACCCAGAAGGGGCATATAGTATGCAATGTCTTCTAGTTCTGTAGCAGTGTCAGCAGTCAGGAGCACTTAGAAAGGTCATTTCCAATGGGGCTTGAGGGCTGTCTTCCTCTGATGATGCTTCCAGAATACACAGTCACCAGGCTGTAGACTGCAACCAACAGGATACTTTAAATTGGAATCCGGGAAAGCTTCTTTAACCTGTTGATGATAGGCTCAAGCATAAGACATTAGAGACTTAACAGAAGCTGGTCCTACTCGCGTAAGACAACAGGGGATCCGCAGAAGGTTGTGTACCAACACACACTGATCTGCTGGTGATGTCTCATGTGGAGTTAGTTTCTGTTTTCCGAAGAGGGTACTGCGAACAGTCAGCAGGAGCAAAGGCAATACCTTAGGCCGGGGGAGTCCAGTCTACAGGTATATAACAAAACCTCAAGACACTTAACAGGACTAGAATCTAATATCTACGAAGGCGCAAACATAGTTTTTCTCTCCATAATTACCCTCATTTTTTTTTTTTTACCTAAAATAATCACAGTAAAACTAATTTGTTTATATTAAAAACTTGGCCTGGGGGCCGACCCAGTGGCGCAAGCGGTTGGGTGCGCGCTCCGCTGCGGCGGCCCGGGGTTCGCTGATTCGGATCCCAGGCGTGCACTGATGCACTGCTTGGCCGTGTGGCAGCGTCCCATATGGAGTGGAGGAAGATGGGCACAGATGTTGGCCCAGGGCCAGTCTTCCTCGGCAAAAAAGAGGAGGATTGGCAGATGTTAGCACAGGGCTGATCTCCTCACTAAAAATAAAAAAAAAAAAACTTGGCCTGATTATTTATACAAATGAAAATCAAAATACGCACTGAGAGTTTCTGAATTCTGGAGGGATCAGGTAGGGAGAAAAAGTAAATGTTTCATCTTTGTTCACAAAGGTAAATCTTACCTAATTGTTGATAGCTTAAAAGATTTCTTTAAATCTGGAAAAACAAAACATTAGAGCATCTTTCTCAGCTCGTGTAGTCTCATGTAATTTAATATTTCTTCTACTTCAATCCAGTTTTTCCATTAGTTTTTTCAACTGTGCCTGATGATTGAGGATGATCTGAACAGTGATAATTCCGAGAAGTTTGAAAGGTTTTGTTAAGGTTCGTGTGATTTGCCCAGTGAAGTGGGTGCCTTGATCACAGGAGACTGTGGAAGGTATATCCCACGTGGGAAATACATTTTCTAATAGTTTCTTTGCCATCATGAGGGCATCTGCTTTTCAAAGTAATCGAAGACTTGAGAAAGACAAAACACAGACTCTTTGTTTCCTAGGCAGATTACATTAAAGGTAAAGGAACTTGGTTTATAATTTCTTATTAAGAGCAGACCAATAATCTGAGAAGATTTTGTTCTTTAATAGAGAGAAAAACCAAATTCTAATTTTGTGCCAGTATACTTTTGATATTAAAATTTATTTTTAAGTAAATTTATTTTAATCTTAGCTAGCTTGAACACACAACAAAATTTCTTTTTTAAAAGATTCCTTTTTCACAAAACTTCTACCACTTTCTATGTCTGTTTAGGTTTTGTCCTATCTTTTTCTTTGTTATTTTGGAACAAGCATTTTATTTTAGGGCAAAATTACTTTCTTGTTTGCCTTTAATAAAACTGCATCTTCATTCTTCATACCTTCTCTTAGCAAAAACACGTATCCTATTTTCCTTGTCTATTTTCCATATACAGTCGTCTTCTCAAATTTCAAAAACTTACAAAGTTTATCTAAAAAAGAAATGATGCAAGCCAGTTGTTACAGAATTATTACAAATTTTTACTTTTAGAGGATAGCATAATTGCCTGTGTATTACAATAAATGAATATAAACTCTGTCTACATAATATAGTTAAACCAGACACTCTTTGGAAATTACAGAATGAGATTCATTGGCGCCTACAGGTTCATCCTGACATACTCTGCTAGACTGTGAATGACAGAACAGGCAGAGGCAAGAAGATCCCCACATTAATGCTAAAGAGGGTTGCTCTAGGTTGAGCAGGCAGAATAAAGATTTGAAAGGTGGAACAATAGCTTCTAAACCAATGGCAGAGCTATGAATATCTGGGAAGCCACCACCAGAATTCTCAGCATTGCAAGTAGTTGTAAGGAATGGGGGAAGTTCTTTTAAATAAAGATTGCTGCCTGGCTGTAAATCTGAAAAGAAAAGGCAAGAAAGTATGAGCCTATCAGAAAGTGATTACAGCCTGGCCTTAAGGAGTTAGCACTGTGTGTGTGCAGGCCAGAAAGGGTGGTGGTTCTTGTGTTGGCCTCTCCATCTGGCTGCGTAGACCCTTCTATTGCTCGATTTC